GTTGTCTCCCTTCTGCTCATTCCCAACCCATTGTGCTGCTTGTGGGTGACTTTTGCTATAGCCTCTGTTATAGTTGGCGTTGCTGGTTTCATGACATTCTGGAACGTCAACCTCGATTCCATATCCATGATCAACCTGGTCATTTGCATTGGGTTTTCAGTAGATTTTTCTGCTCATATTTCCTATGCCTTTGTTACGAGTGGAGAGTCATCAGCCAATAAAAGGTCAATTGAAGCTCTGTCCCTGCTAGGTTACCCAGTTCTACAGGGTGCAGTTTCTACAATACTAGGCGTAGCTGTCCTGGCTGCATCAAACACCTATATCTTTAGGACATTCTTCAAGATCATGTTCCTTGTTATTTTGTTTGGGGCTCTTCATGGTCTTGTTTTTATTCCAGTGTTTTTAACCTTTTTTGGAAACTTTGGCAGTTCACCTCACAATACCGTGTCTAAAAAGTTAGAGCATAGGTTTAGAAATGATAAAGACTGTCCATGAATTATTTAAATATAAGATTTTATATATTTACTATGTGGGCACTCAAATGCAGTGACTGTCAGGAAATACACGACATGAAAAGCAGAAGAATAAATACATCAGATCAACTTCAGGACTTCAGAAAAGCCTGGTAAGAAAAATAACAAACTGCACAGAATGGATTTGCATTTTTTACCTTTGTGTATGTTCATCTACCACCTTAATGTTGCTATTTATCTTTTTTTTGTGTGATATTTTTACTGAATGTTCTAAAATTATTACAAACACTGGCCATTGCATCAGGTGAATGGACTATGTTACATGTGTGTAGGACACAGTCCTAGAGTACCTCCCATTGGACTGTATTTCCTCATTGTTTGCCTTGATGCTCTAACTCATCCCAGCACTGAGCTGGAACACAGTTTTTACCCAAGAGGCTCAAATACAGCAAAATTACAAAAGGTCAGAACTGTCTCAGACTGTAATAATTTGTAAGCCTTCAGGAGACAAAATGTGCTTAGGTTCCGAATGCAGCACAAGAAAACCTTGGGGAAGACTCACCCCAAAGTGACTCCTGTTTTCTGTTCAAAGCTTTTTCTTGGCATCCCATTTTCTAGCTAAGGTTGAACATCTGCAACCCTTAAGAAGTTTGTGTGTGCTTCTGTAGACTGCAATTTGCATGGACCTCTTGAGTTACCACCTTGGGAGATGTTGTTGCATGGTATGAGAGGGCAGGGATTCATTAGAGACAATTGCAGCCTGATTCGGGACAAAGTGAAAAATAACCCCAAGTTTATGCAGATCAGTCCTAAAACTGTAAACTCATAAATTCCATTGTGTTCATCAGTGCATCCTGGGATGCACTGGTAGAGCAGAGGAGCTTTCACTGAGTAGTAGCTAGTAATATATGAGATGATCTTCAAACCCATGGGAATAAGGCATTAGGTGAAAATCAGTTCATAATTTGTTGCCAGTATCATGATAGACCCATTGGAAATAAAATAAGCAATGGTAACCAGTATTTGTAATTCTGGAAAAAATTGGTGTAGAACTTATTAAATCATTCAGTCCAAATCTGCTGCTGTGGTGGGTTTCTTCTGAGAGTCTGAGCAAGTGTGACAAAGCCAGGGACTGCCTCTGTTCCCTGTGGATATCTAGCCAGTTTCATGAGTAAACAGGGCAAGATCCTTCTCATTCATAGAGTCATAGAACAGCTTGAGTTGGAAGGGACATTTATGTTGATTTGGCATGGTCTGGTTTTTTGGTAGCAGGGGAGGGCCACAGAAGCAGCTTCTGTAAGAAGCTGCTAGAAGCTTCCACCATGTCTGACAGAGCCAATCTCTAATGGCTCTGAAGATGGACGTGCTGCTAGCCCAATTAGAGAGGTTCGTAATGCCTCTGTGATGACATACTTAAGAAGAAAATCAAAACAGCGCATGTGCAGCTTTTTTCTGGGGTGGCAAGGCGCCGCCACCAAGGCCATCCTGGCAGCATGAGGCAATGCACTGCAGCATGGCCCACAGCAAGCCTTGCCTGCCTGGCCACCCCTAGTGAGCTGTGCCAAAGACAGAAGGGCAGGGGCAGCTGCCACAGATTCCCCTTCCCGGTGCTGCATGTAAAGAGAGGCATTAAACAGCACCAGCACTGCAGCAGACACCATTGCCCATCAGTGGCAGCAGGGCTGTGTGGCTGGTGCAAAAGTATGGCGAGCAACTCCTGGCAAGGAACCTAAACAAGATGGCCCTCTCGGCACTGCGGGATCCTGCAGGAATTTTTTTAATTGGTGGAACTTGTTGGCAGTGGTACCTACAGGCAACAGCTTTTTTTCTAGTCAGAGAAGAGGAGTTGAGGACAGGTGAGGGGAAACAACATGGCGGCACCCAGGTCAGTGGAAAAGGGGAGGAATTGCCCCAAGTGGTGGAGCCGAAATTCTTCTGCAGGCTGTGGTGAGGACCATGGTGAAACAGGCACCTTGCAGACCATGAGGTCTAAGGAAGATGCAGGGATCCACTCGCAGCCCATGGCAGAAGTACTAACACTGGAGTGGGTGGATACTGGAGAAAGGTGTGATCAAGTGGGAGACCCAAATGGAGAGAGAGTGCCCCTGCTTCCTGAGATCAAGAAAGAAGACCCTTGCTTCCAAACTAGAGCAGCCTGTCCTTAGAGGACACACTGTGGAGAAGTGACTCATGCCACAGCTGTTTTGGAAAGACATTGCAGTAGTTTAGGCAGGACTGCTGCTCCTTGGAAATTGGAGCCACACTGGAGGAAGTTCACAGAAAACTGTCCCCTGTGGGAGGGACCCTCTGGCATAGCAGAAGAAAGACTCCTCTTCCTGACTGAACAGAAAAATATCTTGGGTGATGAACTGAACAAAACCCCCACATCCTATCTCTCTGTGCTGTCAGTGGGAAAGATGGGCTGGGGGAAAGAAGTGTTTTAAAGACTTATTTTACATCTAATTGTCCTCTTCTGACTCTGTTAATAATAAATTCACTTTATACCTTTAAATTTTAACCTGCTTTGCCCTTAGAATGCTTTCTCCCAGTCCTCATCTCAACTTGTGAGCCCTTTGTTATTTTTGTTTTCCTCTCCTGTGCCTAGCTGAGAGCACAAGTTGAGCAAACAGCTTTTGTGGGCACCTGGCATTTGGCCAGTGTCAAACCACAACATTTTAAAGGTCATCTAGTCCAACCCTTCTGCAATAAGCAGGGTTCTTCAACATGATCAGGTTGCTCAGAGTCCACTCCAATCTGACCATGAAAGTTTCCAGTTCTCTGGGCAACCTGCTTCAATGTCTTACAACCCTCATTGTAAAAAAAATCCTTAAATTAAGTCAACTGTCTTTTAGTTCACTCATTACTGCTGGTCTTGTATCAAAGGCCCCACTAAAATGTTTGTCCCTGTCACTATTCCGGGTCCCCTTTTGCCCAGAGCCATCTCTTCTCCGGGCTGAACAACCCCATCTATCTTCACAGGAGAGGTACTCCAGCCCTCTGATCATCTTTGTAGCCTCTTCCAGACTCATGCCAGCAAGTCCATGTTCTTCTAATACTCAGGACCCCAGAGCTGGATGCAGTATTACAGGTGGAGTAGAGGGGCAGAACACCTCCATTGACCTGGTTGCTATGATTATTTTGATACAGACCTGGTAGAATTGGCTTTCTGGGCTTCAAGCACAGATTTCTGGGTCATGTCCAGCCTCCCATCCAGCAGTGTACCCTGAAGTTGTTCTCAGCAGGGCTGCTCTCATTCTCTTCATCTCCCAGCCTGTTTTGATACCAGGGGTTGCCCCAACCCATGTGCAGGACTTTGCACTTGGCCTTGTTGAATTTCATGAGATTCCATTTCTTGTGGTTGTCCAGGTCCCTCTGAATGGCAATCCTGACCCTCAGGCATGTCACTTCCACCACTCAGCTCAGTGCCATCTGCAGACTTGTTCAATCCCTTTGTCTGTATCATTGAGGAAGATATTAAATAGCACTGGTTCTAGAATGGACCCCTGAGGGATACCACCTGTTACCAATACCCATTGGGACACTGAGACACTGACCACTACCTCTCAGATGCAACCAATTAACCAGTTCCTCATCCACCTAGCAGTCTACCCATCAAATCCATATCTCTCTAATTTAGGGAAAAAGATGTTTTGGGGTACCATGTCAAAGGCCTTGGAGAAGGACAGAGAAAACAATAGCCTTTCCCATATGCACTGACACTGTCACTCCATCACAGAAGGTTGGTCAGGCAGAACTTGTTCTGGTGAAACCATACTGGTTGTCTCAAATGACCTTTCTGTCCTCGACACACCTTAGCATAGGTTAGGAGGATCTGTTCCATGATCTTCACAAGCACAGAAATCAGTAGTTCCCAGGATTCTCCTTTCTACCCTTTCTGAAGATGGGTTCAGTGTTTCCCTTTTTCCAGTCACCTCGAACTTCACTTGACTGCCATAACTTTTTGAACAGCATAGAAAGTGGCTTGGCAACTTACATTAACTAATTTCTACAAAGCTCTGGGATGCATCTCGTCAAGTCCCATAGATACATGTATGCTCAGGTTCCTCAAGTGGTCATGAATCTCTTCTCTTACACTGGAAGGGACTTTTCTCCCAAAGCCCCATCTTGCAGTCCACCCACTCAAGAGGTGTAAGACAAGAGGTTGCCATTCAAGACAGGCAAAAAAGGTACCTGAGTACCTCAGCCTTCTCCTTGTCTTTTGTGACCATTTGCTGGCCTTTGTTAAAAAAGGAAGATACTCTTTCTTTCACTTTATAACAGCAGGTGGCTTCCAGCTCCCCCTGTCTGTTGCCCATGCTGCATGCAGTGGTCTAGAGACACTTCAGCTGCGATATTGGCCATGTTGCTTTCTTAAGAGGAGCACCCCTAATTACATTGAGATACTTTTGTGGCAGCATCTACTACCTCAGGAGCCCTTGACTCATCTCTGTAAGACTTCAAGTGCAGTCAGCACAAATCAGAGCCACTGGCAGAGGGTGCTGACTAGCCCTCCATCCTCAGACCCCGGCGCACAGCTTGCCAAAGGCCAAGCCCACCACCATGGCCCTCCGTCCGGGTCTGGCGCGAGGCTCCAGCGCGAAGCCCCAGCGGGGAGCACAGCGGGCGCTGCCCGGGAAAGCTGGCCGCGCGCGGGCACTGCCGCCGCAGCGCCCCCGGCGCTGCCCGGGAAAGCGCCCGGAGGGGTCCCGGGGGCAGCGAAAGGGCCATGCGAACAATGCACCAGCGACGGAGAGCACGGACAGCGGAGGCAGACCGCGACTCCTGGCCATGCAGCTGAAGCACCTGCTCACAAATCTTCCCGGGCAAGTGAGCTGGACATTGGAGATGGCTTCAGCTGTTGTGTAACATACCTTAGTGTGGCAAGCACATTTCTCTCACTCTTAGGATTTTTCATAGAGCTGAACAGAGAGAAATGAAAGAGAAAAAAATTTATATTTCTGTGTTGCTATCATGCTGGCATGGTAGTGTGGAGGAAGGGTTTTTAGAAAGGCCTTGGGAATG